ATAAAGGCTGGATTAGCTTTCCCCTTTTCATTGATACAGATTTTTGTTTTTCCATTTCTTTATTTGGAACTACTTTAATGAAAAAACGCTTAGCAATAGGTAGCATATGCATAAATGTCTCCTGTAGTTACGACACGACTACCCCGTATTACGTGTCTTCGCCACCTATGTCACAGCCCTCAAACCGAAATACTTATCAGGGCCTGTTCGCAAGCCAAGCTGCTTTAAAGCAAGGGATAACAAGGTTTTCTTTTTCTGCATTGCTATGATATAACCGCGATTGGTTAAGTAGACTTTTGTGACAGAAAAAAGACCTCTACATCTATTCCGTTTTATCCGAGGTTGAGCGACTATTAACGAGTATGTTCATTATTATTTCGGAAGCTATTAGTCATCTGTTACGATGGAAGGATATCTTTTGTTTAAATCGTATAACTTGCACTTATTGCAAAAAGATATACATCGGCGAAACAGGCAGAAGACTAGGTGACCGATTCCGAGAACACCTTCGAGACGTGGAAAGGAATGACAAGGACACATCGAAACCAGTCGCTAGACATTTTAATTTACCTAATCATTCTAAGCAACATATGGCAATCTGCGGTCTTTCCTTGCACTTAGGTAGCACGGAAAGCCGTAAAAATCTTGAACAAAAGCTTATCTTTCAAACCGGCAGTCTAAATCCCACAGGGATCAACGAACGCTTTTCATTCCACTAATTTATTCATGTTCTTCTCGTTGCCATGTTCCCACCAATACCGTAGCTCCATTTTCTGCCTTTAAAAGCACACACAACCCACAATTGCTCTATTCGCTCCGACGAAGGGCTAACGCTCGAAATGTCAGCTTTTGTAATCATTACGGTGGCCAATTTACCATTTCAACTTTGTTGATATATCCAAATTACTCCTTATTTTGAACTCCTTCCGTTGACGTTCTTAGTTAAAAGTTAATTTTCAGTGTCAGATCCAGATTAAGTCACACAGCCAGGGAATTAAGGATGGCTATTGACTGGTTCTGGATCGTAGGATGGCTTTTCACTTTCTTTGGTTTGGTGGGAAACATCTGGGTTATTTTTATCATCGCCAAAAGAAGAAGATTAAGGACAACAACAAATTGGTTCGTCCTTTCTTTTGCGGCGGCCGATCTGTGTGTTACCGGCGGATATTTTCCGGCCTCTATGATCTGTGAAGTGTTAAGGGATAAATGCAATTACGACGTTCGCATGACATTCACCTTTTTCTTTAGAGACATTTCGTCCATGGGCTTAATTGCCATAGTAGCAGAGCATTACATCGCTATTGTGCACTCGTTAAGATACTTCCATGTCTTTACCACGACCAAGAGAACATTCATGATCGTTGCACTCTGTTGAGCAATTCCATTTGTTTTTTTTTCTCAGCAATGCTTTGATTGAGGCAAGGTCTGTATTTTTTGTCATTTACAAAGTGCTCTTTGAAGTGCTACCAATGTTGTTACTCTGTGTGGCACATCTGGACATCTTACTAATTGCTCGAAAAATCTCCTTCGAGATGAAAGCTCTTTTGAATCAGGTTAAATTCAACGTAGCAAAACTCTATGAAAATAGTTGAAGCTACAAACGTGGGCTTAAAAGCTTCCACGGTGAGGTTAGTGACGATTCTAGTTCTCATTTTATAGCACATTATAGGACTCAAATCCACATCTGGATCTGCGATACCTTTAATCGTTGTATAGTTTCTGAACATGAGGTGACGGCAACCAGTTTGCTCTTTATGGCCAATTCTACGTTAAAGCCTCTTGTTTACGCGTTCCTCGAAAAAGAAATCAAGAGAGGGTAAATCAAAAGCTTTTCTTTGCCGCAAGCGGCGTGTAAAATTACGAGTCTTCAAAGTTTTTCCTGAGTAAAAAGATATGAACTGACCTCCTTCCAGCAATGCTGACTACAAAACGACTGCCAAACTTGTTAGATGTGTTTTGATTTAGCACATACTTAAGCTAGTCAGTGGAGACGGCTTTTTGCCTCCGCAATGTGTTGTGAACAAGTTTCATGGTCTTTGGTGAGCGGTCTGCCTAAAGCACAAGGTAGGACATTTTCTTAAAAGTCTTTTGTTGGCGTCGGTGTCTGCAAAAAGACCTGAAAAGGCCGAAATTGTGATCAGTAAAGGCTTAAAGAAAACCGGATAGCTACTAAAATTCTCCCCATGATTGAATCCGCCTATCAACAAAGGGCTTGTAAACAACTACGTTCTCTATTGCAAACCTGCAACCATATGTTTCTGTGAATAGATCTCAAAAAGGCAAACCTTTGTGTATCAGAATATAGAGAGAATTTTAAAAAAAATCATATTTTCTGAATATCTAAGTTCTGATGTAAATACAACCATGCACGAAACTGCAGAAATTTAATCCTGTTTTGTCTCAAACACTATAACTCCATTTTGGACGGCATGTGCACGTACTTGTGAACAAATAACAATAATTTATTCCTTGGTCTTGATGAACCATGTAATATTTACGACATAAATACCTGTACGAAGTTATGGCCTACACAGAGAAAAATAATGTTAGAGATTATCAGGCAACAATTATTGTTCATTGAATTCTTTGACTTTTAGAGTAAACAGACCGGTGAGCGGACCTTTGGATGGTGTCTTTGATGATCCGAAGGTCGATTAACTTAGTGTTTCCCCACTAAGCAATTGTTTTGAAGCTGAAGCTAAAAAAGGTCAAATTTGGCTTAAGTCGACAAAAATAAATATTTGTTTATTCCGCCCCAAGCTAGGCCTCCATGTTTTCGTGTATTCTCTTTTGCTTGAATTTCTCAAGCAATCTTTCTACTAACTGCTTAGCGATTAACTCCATTCAACAACGGAGGGAAATTTGAACGGCTTTCATAAACTGGCCACTAAGCACTGATTGAGCATTAGCCTGTTCAGGATGCAGGGGTGAATGGAAACTGCTCACATACACCTATATGCAGATTTGAATTTTTAATGACCACTTCAACTGGCTGACTGCCCTAAAGAGGTTTCCGTTTCACAAAGTGCTTAAATTGACAGAGAAAAGAGGCATACCGGGACAGCCAGACGAGGATAGTATTTCACTGGTTTTGGATCGTGGGTTGGTGGGAAACGCTCGCTATTTTCATCATTGCGAACAGAAGGGCTCAAAAAATAAACAAATAATAGAAAATAAATGAATAAGATGGTAAAAATAACAGCTAACAGGTTTGTTCTTTCTTTGGCGGGGGTCAATGTCAGCATCAAGAGTGGATGCTTTACATGCAGCTTCGGCGCTCTATAACAGTCACGTTCTGTCATAACAACAACGCCGTCGACAAGAATTTCCCAATATCTCAATAAATCTCTTTTTGCGTTGACTGCCACGGTTTTTGCCAATGTTCGTTCGCCGAATAACTTCCGCGTTTTTTTGCTAAGGTAAGAATAATCCCCACGTCTACGACTTCTTTGGGAAGAACTCTTAGCTTTTCCGCGTGCTTCGCCTTGTGTGCAAACAACCTTTCAATCGTAAAAGACTGTATATAATCTACTTTGTGGGATTCGCAACCACACCATTCAAAGCTACTTTGAATATTTTGCTCGTTTTCCGTAAACTTTCCCTAGATCTGATGTAGCGGCAAAATTGGTGGAATTGATGGTAGCCACAAGAAATCCTCAACATTAAGGTAGTTGACTGTTCACTTTCTGATTATCGAAGCGTGCGGAAGAAGTTAATAATTCACCATATGAACCTTGCGTCGTTTCAGTAAATACCATGTTTTAGAGGGTGGGTGCACCCATGACGAACTCATGAAATGGTTGGAACACAGCCATAACATTTGATAAAAGATAGAGGGGTGGAGAGTGTTGCAATTTATCCGGTACCGATCAGGAAGAGAAGAAAACAGTTCAAGTGTTTCAACTCAATCTTTCAACCACTGAGAAAGTCGCTAAACTCACCGTTAAAAGGCCTTGAAACTAGTTAGTTTATCGGTGCCTTAAGCGATTTCCGAGAGGATTTTGGGCTGACCATGTTAAGTAAGAGGCACCTAGAGTATCTTTGACGGGGTGAGCTTTTTGCAGACAATTGAGCAAGGTAAAGAGATTCAACTGCTCATGCAACTCTGTCAGATTGAAACAACGAGCCACTCGTCCGTTGCCTGTGATCTTTTTTACCAGGACAGAGGGGAAAAGCCAATTTACCATCCAAACCCATGTTGCGTCTGACAAAAAATGGTAAATTTAGTATAGTTTCTCGGACCTGTGCAGCGTAGGCTGTAAAAGCAGACCCCCCCTGGAACAGGCTGCTGATCATGTACACAGGTCGTTTTCGTAAGCCACCAACATTGTGTTAGGTGCGTTAGCAAGTAAAAAAACAAAAAAAAGTCAGGCAAGAGAAATAAAAAAATAAAAAAAGAAAAAAAAAAAAGAAAAAAGAAAAGCGATCAGTAACACCTGCTTTGGTGCCAGACTTGCAAATCTAATGTAATTCAAACTGCTGCCCTTTTTCCGTGCGATAGGCAAAGAACCACTTCGTAATCATGCCGAGTGTGTTTGTTGTTGCTTTAAATCTACGTCTTTAATGCCGATTTCTGATAACATAAATTACATCTCTGCCAGTATTAGAAGGTGAGGCTCTGTCGCAGACATCGTCGGAAGTATCATGGAAGTATCCTGGCAGATATTTTGACGCTTCTACGTGTAATTACAAGACTGAAATTCAGTTGACGTTCAATTATTCGCGAAAAAACTTTCCACAAAGTGTCATTTTTTATAAGTTCACCACGCTACATGAAGCCTGTAGACTATGTTTAATTAAAAATAGAAGAAGCAATAACCAGCTCTTCAGAAGACATCCATGGATGGAATTTGAATATATCTAGACGATGATTTTTCTTCTTTATTGTTTGTAGATGCGTGGCCTTAAAACTGAAAAGGACAACACGCAAGATTATCTGTTTGGTTTTGAGCTCCCTCTGAACAGGTTGATTTCACTTCACTTAAAAAAAAATCTATCAGGAATAAAACCGTCACCGATAGTATAGCTAGGAAAATTGATTAATTTTGCGTCATTAGACACAATATTTGGCCTGACACAGAAATAAACTAAAATGAACAATGGCCACAACGGGAGTGAAATAGACGGCATGTTTTCAAAGGTTCAAAGACTGAGATTTTTTTATTGAAGTTTTGAACTTCCCAGATGAGCTTATCTTCCCATCTCAAGAGCCAATAAAAAAGAAGATAAATTACCGGAGTGCTAATATCCCCTACGCTTTCCGTATGATAAAACATTTGTCATAAATGATCGGAAATTCGGTAGACGCATATGCTCGACCTGGTACAAATATATTAGTTTATTTTGGAACCGAAGACGTTCAGTCTCTTTTTAGTCCGGTCTTCAGGATTATGTATGCAACTTCACAGTATCATCACCTCTTGTTTTTCATTTCTCCTCATTATGTCACAGGTAGTGCATGCACGATATAGCGTTTACTTAAGTGATATGAATAATATATTGCACCACACTTACTCGCGCTTGATTTATGATAAAAAAAATTATTATCACAGCCATGCAATAAGATTTCCAAGCGAAAGTTTCTTTTACATCACGTCATTCTGTAAACCTGTAAGATTAGTACCATTGCGATTTACTTCTTAAATGGTATTTTTGCTTCCTTTAGAGGAAATGTATATGAGTTATGTTTGCGTAAAATGGAAGGCCGAGTCACCTGCCTTGCCTAATAAGCTTTTATTACCGCCAATGTTTCTTGGCAACTGTCACAGCTAGGCTGAAAATAGAACACCGCCGTCCGTGTGATCAGCTTTACACAGATCAGCTTGAATAATTCGTTTAAAGCAAGCCTAAATCCCGAAGATTATGAACTAAAAGAAAATCATCCACTTGTTTTGAATTATTTCTACACAGTGCCGACCGTCTTCGTTTCTCCCTCAACGAAGTATACGGCACATCAATAGAACCTTTGGGAAGTTCCTCTCTTGCATTTTCAAGCGAGTCGATTAAAATTTTAATTTGTGGCATTCCTTGCAAAGAGTATGCAGTGTCTTCGCTTTGATCTCGATTCTCGTTTGAATTTTTTCTCTGTGATTCATATATTCGTACTGATGGCGGCGAATTAGATCGCTGCTCATTCGAAACGTGTGTATCTTGCTCAAATGACACCGATGAATTGATATTCAAGTCTATTTCGCACCGACTCACAGGTCGTCTGCCATTTGCAAGTGCTGCAACCGATAAACTAATTTTTTCTGATTGTTTTGTGGCAATAGTAGAACCTTTCCTTCTTCCGGATTGGATTCTGTTATTATTCTTTTCGTAGGCGCGATGTTCGCTTTGTAAATGTAAGCTGTTCGGATATAACCTCTCTTGATTTGTACCCGAGAATTCCTCACTCCTGATACATGTGTGTTTTACAATGTCAGCTCTTGATTGCGAGTCCATAAGAAATTGCCCACCTTCAGTTTTTGAACGCTGCCTTATTAAAAGTGCATTGCAGCCTTTACAACTGGATTTTCCACTCTCAGATCCCGCAGGGCTACTAAAAGATCGTTCAGGGATTCTCGGTTTCGATCGAAGTTGTTCTTTCCCTCGACGTTTCCGCTTTTCAGCCAAGTACGGCCTACCGACCACTTGTAAATACTTATCATATTCACCGCTCGAGTCCTTTCTTTGCTGAGCCACGAAGCTGGAGCAGTCTACGTTTTTATACAATTTCCCCTCATCGCTTTTCCTGCTTGTATCGTAACTAGCAGCCGACCCATTCGACGACACGACTGAAAATCTACGCGCGTTGCTCAATCTACTTCCATGTCGAGCGTTATTCTTTATCGGTGGCAAAACAGAAAAACGCGTGAAAGCACCCATATTAACATTCAACAGAGGAATTTTCTCTTCAGTTTCTGATTCACCGTTGCTCTTTTTTTCATCAGAAAGAACGGTCTTCATGTTTGATCTTTCTTCGCCTAACGGCCTGTCTTCTGTAAGCTTAGCATATTCAATTTTCGGTAAAAACAGCTTGTTTCCCCTGGGCACTTGCGACCTTGTGTTCATGGCGATAAATTTGTGGTCTCCAATTTGTAAGCTCAACACTACTTTAGTTTCATAACGAACCGCAAAAGGATTTTTACCATATTTCTTCCAACTTCATTTAACATGTTTATAATTCCCTCGACGCGCCATCTGTTTTGTAACATTATGTTGATCAAGTAGGTCACGTGGCACACCACTGATGAGCAGTTGTGGACAAGGCGCCACGAACATAAATGAATTAATATTTGACATAATAGTTAAGTACACATTAGATGAACTTCTTTCCTATTCATCTAAATGATTTATAATCAATATTTCATTTCACTGTTTAAGTTTGAAAGCAAACCCTTTGTCGGATTGGAACGATGATGAACTTGCGTCTCGATTTGACAGCAGTTTTCCTGGACGTTCTAAAATAATTTCCACAGAATTCTAACGTGTTTCGGCTAATTTTTTAAATTAAACTTCAGTGAGGATTACCTACCGAAAACCCGACTAATTAATTCATGTTTAAATTTTAAGAGTCTGTATAAGCAATTGTTGGCTATTCAAGTTTAGATTGTCGAAGAAAATAATGAAAATTGTAAATCGAAATTTCTAGCCAACAGATAGATGATATGAGCCAAATTCATTGATAATGTATTAAAATGGGTATTTTGTTTTAATTTAGTAGTTTAAAGATGTAAAAAAATACTTTGTACAGTAGTATTGAAGTTAGATATTGTGTTCTGAAGCTTAGAATAATCATAAGTTATGCTGACAACTCAACCTTTAGTAAGTAAACTGCTGTATGAAGCACGTTTTCGGTAATAATGTAGTTAATGAAGCGCTCTAAATGAAGTAATTATATCAATATCATTACGGTACCTATTTTTCTTAGAAGTGCTTGGTTATCTTTGCGGAACTGATAATTTCTGAATAACTGACTGTATTCTCCCCTAAATTTATAATATCAACAAATAAATACCTGATACCATATATTATACTGTTAAATAATCGTTATTTCGTGCTTCCATGTTCAAAAATGATTTTTCTTCTCAAGTAAATTATCGCTAATGGTCGACTCGAAATTAATAATTCTGGAAACAATCAGCAAACCCCTTTATAAGATAAATGCCACCTTCATAAATCTGAACGTTCTTTTTTTATAGTGGCAGTTTAAACTGTCATTCCGTTCACCATGGGGCTAGAAAAACTAAGAATATCCTCGTTATGCTGAAACACATTACACGATTAGTATACTGTCAGGTCTAAAGTTAGACCACTCTGTAGTGTATGCTACTGATTTTCACCTCATTACGAATATCTCCTAATGCTTTCCTCTGAAAGGAAACAGAAAAGTAAAAAAATTTCTAATTTATTATCTTTTTCTTGAGAATAAATATTGCGAGTCAATCGAAGTTAAATTTGCCAAAATGGTTTTCTTCTACCTTGGTTGCAATATAAAATTTAATCGAAATATTTTTTCTTTGATTCTTTTTTCTTCGATTCACCTTCCGATTACATAAAACAGTCGAGCTAGGTTACTAGTTGTGGATAGCTAATAACTAAAATTTACTAAAAAGCTCTCTCGATCATCGACAAGGGAAAGGGTTGAAAGACAGTTGTCCGTTCTTAAAAGGATTTCGTGAATTTAATATCTTTTTGAAATTCGAAAAAAAAATGAGATAAACTTTACATATGAGATAAAATTCAACTGTTTTCCTCTTAATGGTAAACGAAACTTCAATTTTTTATCTTTAAATGCCAGACAGACCTTAAATAATTCGTAATTTATTCTTTTTTTCCATTCGTTCTCTCTTTGATTGCATGAAAGCATGGACCAGCTTTTAACTTAGAAGCAAATATAGCAGGCGGCGACTTAAAGCTAAATTGAAGTCATCTTCGCTTCCCTTATTTCAATTGGTGCCGCTTTCGGTAAATTATTGTATTCAAGTGGTTATTTACAAGATAAAAATGGATCATGGACATAGCGGGATCCACTCGCCTCAGACGAAAACGTAAAATTGTTGACTCTGTAAAATGCANTTACCTATGTTCAACTTCTGTGAAATATTTCATGGTTGAACCAACTATAAGATCTTTTTTCTATGATGTGCCATTAATTGTAAATGAGCTGAAAACCCGCAGGTTTGGAATGCGATCGATAATCCACTCTAGGTCATTACTTTATTAATGTATACTTTGCCGCAGAACAGTTTGAAGAGTTAATTGTGAAGTGAATTAATTCTTGATATCTAAAGGCAAGCATGGAAGTATTTTGGACGCTGTGACGTCTTCGCGGTTACATTTGAAACCTGGGCACCATCTTAACCCTATGGATTTTACACAGTTGCCAAGCCAACTTTGAAATTTCAAATTTTAAAATATAAATGAATGCTGAAATTTGAGCCAAAATTAAGGAGTAATTGACAACCATCAGATCATAAGAAAGATTGGAGAAGAACACTAACTGAGGGTATAGGATTTCGTCTAACTGAGAGGGAGGAGAAGTAATCAAGAACAGATTTTCCTTTTTTTAGGAAAACGGTAAAAGTTGAAGGAGCAACGAAGAGACCGCCAAGCTCTTCAGTGAACAAATCATTGCGCCAAAGCTCCAGGATTATTTGAAAATGACTCGTGAGGTGATTACTGAGTACAATTCGCTTCTGGCAGTTCCCATAGACCCTGAACGTGATCTGCTATCTTTTCTCCAACGAAACACGGCTCTTGTCTCTTTCTTGATATCTTGTTTAAGGAACGCGTACACAATCGGATTAAGGACTGAGTTAACCATAATTAGCAGGGAAAATAATGTTTGAACATCGTCAGGGACTGCACAAAGGTTCTACGGGGCTTGACAGAATGTGACGTAGATTTCTGTCCCGTAGCATACTACGAAAATAGCAACAACTGCAACCACTAATTTTACCGTTGAAGATTTCAATCCAATTTTAACTGGTGCGTTCAGTATTCTTGCAGAGTTAGCCGCCACGTTAAATCGAACCTGAGTCAACAAAACTGACATTTGCGCCGAAATTCTTCGAGCGATGAACATGATATGCAAGGTTGCTACGATAAGGATTATCGATGGCATAATTTCAAACAACACTGTATACATGGTGATTATTACGAGCTCTGCCTGGACAGAAATCTCCTTGTAGTACAGCTCGTATGCCCATCTAGCAAAGATAAGAACACACGGAACTCCCCAAGATGCCACAATGATAGTGATGGTTTTTGCAGTGGTCATAACGTAGACGTATCTTAATGAATAAACGATGGCGATATAACGCTCCGCAATCATCGCAATCATCGAGAAGGTGGACGCTTCGATGAAAAAGCTGTAGAAATTAAAGCGAATGCTGTTCTTACATGAGTGAACGACTGTGTTGCAAATAAAAGATGCTGGAAAATATCCACAAGTGACGCCCAGATCAGCGATTGCCAAAGAAAGAACAAACCAGTTGGCTGTTGTTTGTAATCTTCTTCTTTTCACGATGATGAAAATAATCCAGGTGTTTCCCAGGAAACCGAAAATAGTTACGAACCAACCCACGATCCAAAACCAGTGAAGAGCCATCCTTGTTTTCTGATTACAAAAGTTTGATCCCAAAGTCGATTTCATACAACGCCTTGGTGATAAATAAAATTGCTGCGAATTCCCTCAAAATCATTACACCTCTCAGTAAACATTGTCATAAAATGTGAAGATAGTATTTTTCTTTCTCCGTTTCTAAACGGTAGTTCATAACAACGTAATTACATAAAAACGTTTCTGTCAAATTCATCGAGAAACCTGCTGAAAGCTTCATAATTATGATTAAATTAAGCATAAATTTTAATTGTTAATTCCCCCCTTGTCAATAAACTATACCTACCCACATTTGCGAAGGCTGAATCAGTTGTGCAGCTGAAAGCAATTGAAAGGAAATGATTTTCTTTGCTTCTCTTTGGCATGGATCTGCAAAGTGTTGTTTGACAAATGACACTATTTGTTAAACAAAAATGCCCATGTCAAATTTTGTTTAATCTCGAAAAATCTCGATTAGACCCCGAAAGAACGTTGCTGGACAACAGGAGGCAACGAATTCGTTTAATATGATATTCTGGAGAGAAGAAGTCTTCGTGAGGTTGCTCTATTTTGTTTCATCTTTACTCAGTTAAAATCCTTGCTTTTAAGAGAGACGCAACGATTAAATGCGTAAATGTCCGAAATTTGCATTAACTGAGGAAAATCAAATAAACCCACATGTCGAACAAAGGTAGAAAACTATTGCAGAAGGAGTTATTTGCACAAAAATATTAAAAAAAGGACACACTGAAGCTTTTGTGTTCATACATGCCGTTTGAATAGCTAGCTAGTCAAAAAGTAGTCACATCGATCGCAAAACCACGAGACTGAAGACTGTACAGAAGCCTAAGTAATGAATGAATTGATGATAATTATACAACATTCCTGTCATTATTCAACTATAAGTTATCAGAAATTACATTGGAAAGTTACTGTAAAGAACCACAAGCTCGCATAAACGTAGTCTTTCACAAACTTCTATTCAAAAGAAAAAGTTACCCATTTCTTGATCACTTTGAGTCGTATCTATGGTGACATGCCAATTAGCTATACTCTTTTGTATTTAGGAATATATGATATTGGAAGACGGTGACACCCCACATACTGGCGCAGTCTGTCAACGCGAATATCAGAAATATTTACTTCGTTCGTCCACAGATGTCAGTTTGTACCATATCAACCCTACACCAAAACAGCAATCCCAACCACTAACCCCGAGATAAATAAATAAATTTACCGTTTTGACCCCTAAATTACTATTCCAGAGTTTTCCTTTAATCTATTCTTACTTTGAAGAAGGAGAGTATACAAGCAGTCGATAGGATATGCAAATTCGCTCCGACAAGGATCAATATATAACTGATGGAAGTCAAGAAAGGGTGTGGAGCAAAAGAAAGACAACATCTGCAGCCACTATGACAAATCGAAACCCAGTCTAACAGTTGCCCGCGATCACATGCTCTACCACTAGGCTACGGCGAAATCCTTGGCGAGCGACGAAGCTATACTTAAGGTTTCTAACGCGTACTAAAATCGACAATATTTAAAACTTCCTACTTGGATCCTAGCTGGCTTTAAAAAAATTATAAACTTTGAGTTAAGTTGAGTTAAGTTGTCAAGAAAAAAAGAAAGATGTCAAATCCTTGTAGAAGAGGAGGTTGAGCACCCTTCGCCTAGTGAAAACATTTTTCAGACCATTTGGGGGTCCTCGTAATGTCGCATCCCTATTGATAATAGGTGTTTTTGTTACTATGGTAAGCAAGTCAATGTAAGAGGCTTTCACATAGTGCGCTTTAAAGATCAGGTTCCTTCCATGCACGCGTCCAGTGCGAAGACGGTAAGCGATAATCTCAAATGAAGTATAGTTTTCTTTAACTTATGGGGGAGAGGAAAAGAACTGACAGTTCCCCTGGTACGAAGGTGAAAGACGAAGGTTAAACCGTAATGTTGTAATAGCTTGAGAGTATAAACTCTTGGTTTTTTTCTCCAAAAGCCCATAAAATCTTCCACTCCTGTTTTCGCATTAATATTTCCGAAGAAAGAAATAAATTACTCGCCTTAAAGCAGTCCTTCGAAAATTAAATTTGCAAAGTCCGGAGCACCTTCGTGAGTATAATGACTCTAAATTTCTCGTTTTTCTCTATCTTCCCAGCGGTTCCTTGAAATTGAGTTGAGCGGCTCCTTGAAATTTTCTGTGGTGTCCTCATTATTTCCCTCTTGGCGTAAACACCCAGACAAACTGCCAACCCAGTGAATGATCAAAGTAAAAGAGCCGTTTAGCCAATAGCAAAATTCTCTTATATCTACCCTTTCAATAAATTAATGTTAGGATGTGAAATGAGGAAATGATTGCAAATTTTAATCCTTTTTGTAGTCTCTTTCCTGTTTCCAAGAAGAAAGTCAGACAAATTTTTGATAAATTAAATGAAGCAAACAAAGAAATCGAGCTGATATCATAATTTGATGATATCTGATAAATACAGGCTTTAAGATCCTAATCAATTCTTTTCTGCCCAGGAAACAAACAGAAGTCAGCATCAGCTATTAAGAAGATGTGTCCTGTTTGTTTATCTAAGACAGATCTACTGAGAGAGAGAAAACTTAAGAATGCTCCTTAAATAGCACACCGAGTCCTTAGGCTTCCTTGTTTACCCTATTAATAATTTTTTTTCTTATTATTAAATTCAGGTAGAGAACACACCGACTATGACTGATAATAACACTAAGGATCATAATTAACGAAATAACAACAGTTTTATGGTCATTTTGTGATCTGGGCACCTTGATTTCAAGATAAACAAACTAGATCTGTGAAAATAGCATTAAAGAAGCTACCTTCCAGTCAAAAAGAAAAAAAAAGACCTTTGTTTAAAAGTTGCTCTACTTGCTTTTGTTTCGCGTATACATATCTATATATATTGGATATATCAACAAAGTTGAAATGGTAAATTGGCCACCGTAACGATTACAAAAGCTGACGTTTCGAGCATTAGCCCTTCGTTGAAGCGAATGACGAAGGGCTAACGCTCGAAACGTCAGCTTTTGTAATTGTTAAGGTGGCCAATTTACCATTTCAACTTTGTTGATATATCCAAATTATTTCCTTACCCCCACTGACGCAGCCCCAAACAGTTTCTTTAGAAACTATCAGCCTTTATTCATATATATATATATTTAGTTTGGTTACAAAAATCGTTGTCACAACTTGCAGTGCAACAGTTTTGTACAGTGGAATACTATTTGCACCTTAATGCAAATATTATTCATAGTAACACTATTAAAATTGAAGAGAAAACCAAGCACATTTTCATATGTCATGTGTCACATTCAACAGTTTTTTAGCGAAGTAGCCTCCTTCTCATAGAATTTACAACAAATCTGCAAAAGACACGATTTTCCCCTGGATTTTGATGACCATATACTTTTATTCCAAAGCTAAGATTATTCGTTTCGTCATAATAAAGATCTAAATAAAAGGTGTAGTCCAAGAACAACAACAAAAATAGTAACCAGTGCTTTACCTCTAAAGAAAAAATGTCGATATTCAGAGGCTAGGAAAATTTTTTCTCATCAAATTTCTTTGCCTAAAGATTTTTGTGGAACGATGAAGGATTGCCTCTTTTAAATCTCGTTACTATCCACGTGTTGATCTGTATTAAGGTAATTTGGTTTCAGTCAACTACGTTGATAATGTAAATTGGCTATCGTAAAGAGTTTAAAAGTCGGTGGCCAGTTTACATTACCACATTACCTTATTACCCCAACCGACGCAGCACCGCAATAATTTCTTCAGAAACTCAGCCCCTTTATTTATGATCCATATCAGCTTGGAGGTCTTCTTTACCTTCCTACATCACTAAAAAAATCAATTTTTCCATCATTTTTTATTAAAAAAAATAGACAGATAAATAGATAAATAAAATCCTGTCGCACTCA